ACAGATGTGGTCTCTCCCTCTCCTTGTGGGTATGGGTTCAAGGCTCTATCCTCTCCTCTCTCCTGGAGGGTGGAGAGGCAATACAGGAATGGAGGCCAGTGCTAGCTGTTTTGTTCTGCCTCCGGATCCCACTGGGGGATTTTGTGGCAGGAAGGGTAACTCAACTTTGGCCACAGGTCAGGGTACTCGAAGAGGGAAAGGTGGGCTGGAGAAGTGTGTCCCCCCATCCGTCCTACCCCCCCCCACTCACCTCTCTACCGGAGGGTGGAGGGCAGGCAAGACAGGAATGGTGGCTGATGCTCCAGAACCAAGTTGTAAAACTTGTGGAGCCACCAAGCAACCTAAGAGTTTGGATACTGACAATAAGTTACAGTGACCTACTGGCTTTCCATCTTGTACATGAGCCCCGCTGCAGCTCCATCTTCCCATAATTGTACACGAGTCCCGCTGCCGCTCTGTCTCCCCATCCTTGTACACGAGCCCCGTTGCTGCTCCGTTTCCCCATCTTGAACACCAACCCCAATGCCGCTCCCTCCCCCATCCTTGTACACGAGCCCCACTGCAACTCCGTCTTCCCATCCTGTACACCAGCCCCAATGCCGCTCTCTCTCCCCGTCCTTGTACACGAGCCCTGCTGCAGCACCGTCTCCCCTTCCTTGTACACGAGCCCCGCTGCAGCTCCCTCTTCCCGTCCTGTACACGAGCCCCGCTGCTGCTCTGTATTCACCAGACCTTTCCTAAAGGAATGCTTTTATGGTATCTGCATTTGTGGCCACAAGGACCTGTGTGTTCTAACATTCTGGCCATTTTGTCAACATGAACATATACTGTAGTCTATTGTGTGCTGTATATAGATATATTGCGACTCCTTTGTTGTTCCTCAAAAGTACCAAGTACACCCTGGCACCCTGGTGCCTACCCACCCCATTTCCGGGGTGCTCCTTTTTAATGGGATGGGACTCCTTGGGTCATCCAGGTCCCCTGTCTCCGAGCTACCATCGAAAACAGTTCTCTAGCATTCTCCACACAATGATTAGGCATAATTACTATTGGGTCCTCTTACTGTACTATAAGTTTCAGAAGAGTGGGGATCTATGTGTGTTTGTTTGTTTTGTTTTTTCTGCTGTGTGGGTGCTGGAAATCGAGCCTAGGTCTTTCAGAAGAGCAACCAGTGCTCTTAACTGCTGAGTCATCTCTCTGGAGCTAAGAGGCCTTTTCTGCTTTGTTCATTTTTCTTTTCCTTCCTCCCTCCCTCCCTCCCTCCCTCCCTCCCTCCCTCCCTCCCTCCCTCCCTCCCTCCCTCCCTCCCTCCCTCCCTCCCTCCCTTCCTTTCTCCCTCAGTCCCTCAGTCCCTCCATCCCTCCCTCCCTCCCTTCCTCCCTTCCTTTTGTTTTTGTTCCAACTGAGAAATGGTCTCACACCATAGCTCAGGCCTGGAATTCTCTAAGTAACCCAACTTTGCCTCGAACTTGCGGAGATCCTCCTGCCTCAACCTTGCACATGCTGCGATTATAGACAAGAACCACCATGCCTGGTGTGTTGTGCCTTTACTAGCCAAAGCTCTACTACTAGGCACATGGTTAGCATCTAGAAAGTTGATGTGTGCACTTCTTTTAATGGGCCATCATCTTTTATGCAGCCTTTTTACTTGCCAACATGCTGGATGTGAAGTTGGGTAGAGGCTTGTTTTTCTTCTAGAGTTTATGTTTGTTTTTTTAAGCCCCAAAGCACCCACTCAGCAACATGGCCTGGGTGTTCGTATCCAGGCATCTGTACTGGCCTATCCTTGGGGTTCTGACAGGATACGCCCTCAGCCACAGCCACTAAGAGCATCACCTGTGCACATTCACTATGTTCCCTTTTAGAAGGGCCCTGCCCACCTCCCATCTCTCTCTTTCCTCTCTCCTCTCTCTCTCTCTGCCTCTCTTTTCTCTTTCCTGCTGCTCCTGTCCCTGGAAGCCAGTCTCCCCCTCCCCTTTCCCCTTTTATGATCCCTTTTCCTAATTAAACACACACACACACACACACACACACACACACACACACAAAATACCCTACCAGAACCTTGCCACATGGTGTCTTTCTCTTGTGAGATGCCTTTTAAAATTACAACACTGGGTGTACACAAGATGCCACAGGAGTTGTGGCTGTAAAGGAGGATTTCCTGGTGGAGAAGACACTCACCTGAACCTTGAAGGGCGAGCATGCGTCACTTGAAGCCATTCTAAGTACAGCCAGGCAGGAGAAGGACTAGCAGGGCAAGGCAGAGGTGAGGAGGGGTCCCGCGTGAAGGGTGCTTTCCGGACTTCACTGTGCGGAATGAAGGAGGTATGGAAGATGTAACCAAAGGCAGAGAGCAGGTCTCGAAAGGCCAGGGCTGAGCAGCTCCCTGCTAAGACCTATGGGAGCGCTTCCACAGCATGAGAACAGGAGACTTGAGCCTGTGCTGTCACCACAGGATGCAGGGTAGAGGATGGGTTGGAAGGAGAGCATGCATGTTAAGGGTACTACAGGAATTGAGTTGAACTCTCATGATGCGGAGAAAAAGCTGTCAATCACAGGAGAGCACTTGGACGGCGATAATGGATTCTGAGGGGGATGTAAGCAAGTTCTGTTGTAAACACCATCTTAGTAAGCTGAATTTTGGGTCTCTAAGTGATGTGTAGCTGATTCGAAATTTCTCGGTGGGCTAATGGTACCTATCTGTTTTCATATCATACCTGTATATGTGAGACTTTATGAATGTAGTTTGATAGTGAGGTTGGTTTCCAGTGCTCACGAGGGATCCATTTTAGGATTCCATGTAGGCACTGGAGTCTGTAGATGCTCAAGCGTAATATGTATACATGACCCATGTGCATCCTCCTATATCCTTTAAATCATCTCCAGATGACTTGTAGCCCTGACACAATGCAAATACTATGTAAATGGTTGTTATCCTAAATTGGTTTTGGAATGGTGACAATAAAAAGTCAGTCCGTGTTCAATACGGGCACAACTGTGTTTAGAACACTCTGGATTCATGGTTGGTTGAACCTTCATATGTGGACTGGAGGGCTGGCTAGGAAACCTTTTTTAAAAAGCCCTTCTTTAGCTCACGTGTGAGCGAGTGAGAGTCAGACTTCTAATCCATTCAGAACACTGGTGAGAGTTGGTATGAGCTCCCCCTCAGCTGCCCAGCTCCATGTCCAGGGGAGGAGAGGACTTCGGCCTGTTCAGATTTCGTAATTTTCATGTAGCTTTTCATGTGCAGAGTGACAGTGCTGGGCTAATTTGACACCAATCCTTTTCTTCTGGACAAGGGTTTGCAAGAGTCCTGGGGGCTGACTTCACCCCGGGTTCATGCACTCTGCGTCTTCAGCAGGCAGCTGTGGTCTCATTAAGTAAAATGGCTCATTGGGTACTTTGTGCCATGCACTCCGCCCCTCTATATCTGTCTTCAAGTTGTTCAGTACTCTTGCACATTTCCTGCCAACCATCAGGCCCTGGAGACAGAAACCCTGTGGAGACAGAGGTAACCAGAGGGACAGTGGGGGGACAGAACCCACTAGTGCATGCTGGGCATGTAGGTGAGGGAGAAAAGCGGGAGTCCCAGGTTGCCCGGAGGTGTGTGGAGGCCACAGTGGAATTCTGAGGCCAGGTGTGCGGGGCTGCAGCAGCACCTGAGGATTTCCTGCTTGACCTGGTTCTTCAGCAGTTTACTGCGTCATTGGATAGCTCACCCAGCTCTGATGTCCATGCTATTGTGTGGGCATGCTTCTTTATCAGAAGGGACCGGTCAGAGGCTTAATCCCATGCACTTTCATAGTCGAACACAAGGGCTTTTGTCTTAAGGTCTTCTGCATGCAAATAATAACTTTGGAGCAGTTAAACAAATCCCCTTGTAACCCACCAGGGCCTGCGTGGGCCTTTGTAATTTGCCAAGGCTGTGGAGAAGGCAAAGCTAAAGGAGATGTCTCCTTGGGGGTGGGGGGGTCCTACTGAGGCACTCCTCACCAGGTGGCAGCACCTGGCATTGACTCCTTTCAAACTTGTGCCAAGCAAGGGTCCGGCTGAGTCTCAGGAGTGGCAGCTGGGTATGGAGAATGGTGGAGAGAAAGAGACGCTATGATAGGAGAAAAAAGAGGAAGAGACAGGCATCACTGAGTGACCCACAGCACTTTCCCTCTGGGTCCCTGACATCTGTGAGGAAAAACAGAGAAGGAAACAAGAGGAAAGGATCATTCTAAGTCATTCCAGGGAGCTGTTTCCCTAGCCAACTACTAGCTCTCCTAAGCCAGCACACTTCAAAGACTCTGTCAGCTGCAGAACTGCTCTCAGTTGAGCTAAAATATTGCTCGGATGGTGAAGCCTAAGTGTTGGAAGGAGGAGGTGATAGTGCTAAGCCAAGGGAAGAAAGGAGATGGGGAGTGATACTCCAGGAGGGAGACGTGCTTAGGGAGCAGTGGGACCATTTTGGCCTGGGCCTAGAAGGTAAAAATGTCGTAAGAGGCGAGCTGAAGTCTTCTGGCTGAGAGATGAAAGCTGGTGCGTTTGGAAGGTTGTCACGACCTATTTTAGAAGGCAGTCATCCTCCAAAAGGATGCACAGCCACCAGTGAGGGGGACTGCACAAAGCACACGCAGTGAAACAGTGGAATTTTGTGCAGACACGGCATCCGTGTGAAATAGTGAGCTGTGTGCAGACATAGAATCCGTGTGAAATAGTGAGCTGTGTGCAGACATAGAATCCGTGTGAAACAGTGAGCTGTGTGCAGACATGGAATCCATGTGAAACAGTGAGCTGTGTGCAGACATGGAATCCATGTGAAATGGTGAGCTGTGTGCTGACAGCAGTTTTGGTTCTTGCTTCCCAGAGACCAGTAGGATCTGAGGATCACGGGAGACAAGTCCTTTGAACATGCAATGGAACCTTGGTCCTTTATGTTTTAGATACTTAGAGATCAACACCAGAGTCCACTGAAGAAAGGATAGACGATGAGATGTTAAACTTAAAACGTAGACGATAAAATGCTTTACTAGGCATGGAGAAATGAGCTTCAGCAAGAACACGTCTTATGCACTTGAAAAATGATCATGCTAAAAATGCCCAGAATCCAGGACTGTGTGTGGCATTTTCAAACCAGACAAAGAGAAAGAACAGCAGGAAAGGAGCACAATCAAATATATACTGCCCCAAATGAGGGACAGTGGACATTAGGCCACTTCCATGGGGGAGTTACTTGTGGCTTAGGGAGTATGGGCCTTCCTGGAGCCTCTCTCCATTTAAACTACAGAGCCGAGCAGGGATGACACTCGGATGCTGATGGCCTGGTGGGGGTGTCTTCATTCGGCCCAGAGCCCTGTGGGAAAGCCTGGGCTCCCAGGACTCATTTCAGCCTCTCTCTGAGCTGCTCTGCTCTGTTTTCACTTAATTCAACTTTCTCTTGAAGTCAAGTGATGGATCTGGTGACGTCACCAAGAAGCAGAGGACTTGGATGATGTCGCGTTTGGTAAGCCTTAGTCTGGATGATGGACGTGGTGGTACTTACTGGAAGTCAGAAACACGGGAAAGTCAGCAGCACTGGAGGCACAGACTCTCACCCCAGTGAGGTTTAGCTCCACTGCCAATGGGGACCTAGGAGAGAAAAGAAATGGTAAGGTGGTGGTGGCTGAGCCTGCACTGCAGAGGGCTCAGGGACATTCTCAGAGCTTCGGGTAAGTAAGGAGGCAATGAATGGACATGGTTTCTATGGTAAGCATCCCCACCCTCAGAAAGCAGTGCCCGAGTGAACTAAGAGTCCTTATCATGTCTTGTTGACGAGGAGGTAGAAAGTCAATGTGTTCTTCTAGGGGAAGAGTGTTTCCTTCCAGCCCCAGGCCCAAATGCCACCTGCTCTCAGGTGGGGGATCCTGGAGGTCATTACAGAGGGAGAGTCAGATGTTACAGCTCCCCACTCATGCCTTTCTCAGAGGTGGCAGGACCCAGGCCCTACGGGCATAAGATGTTTGTCACTAGAGGTGCCTAGCACATTCCTACTTGAGGGAGTACCTACTACTATGCAACCTTGTGGAAGGCCATCTTTGCAAGAAACAGGAACACTCTCATTTTCAACCTATAGTGTCATTTCCAGCATGGGCCCAGGTATCATCCCCACCAAAGCCAGAGAATGCCTGGAGAGATGACTGGAGTTAAGAACACTGGGCTGAACTTCCAGAGGACACAGGTTCAATTCCTAGCATACACATGGAGGCATGGAGGCTTACAATTGTCTGCAACTGAATTTCCAGGGCATCTGATGTTCCTTCTGGCCACCACAGGCACCAGACACTCACATGGTACAGACATCTTTTTCTTTCTGTCTTTCAAAAGTGCACCGTGACAATCCCCATGCACAATGCACTGCCCATATTCCCATGTTATATAGGTGTGCCTACCCATGTACCCATGGCCTGTCCCCAGAGAGCTCAGTGCTGACTGCTGACATGGGTTGTAAAAGGGCCAAGGGCTCAGGGACATAGATGATACCAGGGTGCTTTTTCCTGAGTACAGGGTCATCCTGTAGCCACACACCCCACAGAGTCATCAGTGACAGTGAGTGAACAGAAGAGAAAGAGGCTGTTGCTGTCCATAAGGAGATGGCCGGCTTTTGGTGCAAGATGAGATACAGACAAAACACCTATATACATTAAAACAAAACCCTCAAAGAGACGGCCAGAGGTCACACCCATTACAGTTGTGCTAGATCCCTGAGCACCTCCATCCCAGAGGTGAGACGTTCTGGAGGGCCAGTCAGCTGTCTTGAAGATATCATACCCTGTTATCTTCTCCAACTTCCCATGACAGGTGTGTGGTTCCCCGCCTGTCTGTTGTGTGCAAGTGGAACCATTCAAAGCAAGGAAGAGAGCAAATGAGTGACAGAGAACTCGGCACACATGCACTCCAACCCATCTATAATCCAGACCTGCATGGGACTCCTCGTCCTCCTCAAGCACAGCTTATGTGAGTGAGAGGAAAGGCTTGGCAGCTGCCTTCCTGACTTCTCTTCTGGATTTGATTCCCAGCACCCACATGGCTGCTCACAACCAGCTGTAACTCCAGGTCTGGAGGATCCAGTGCCCTCTTCTGGCCTCCCTGGGCACCAGGTACACAGACACATTTGCAGTAAAACACTCGTATATGTTAAGTAAAGTATTTTAGTTGGCTCATTTAAAAACATGAATTTTTTAAAAGTTACCATAAACTTTACTGCTATTGTCCTTTTCTCCAACTTCTTGCCTTATGCAAATTGTTTTTATCTTTTATAATTCAGTAATATAAGTGTTTTCAGCATTAGTTTTCCTCTGGGAAAGTCCATTTGGGGATTAGTGTATTTCCTGGATTTTTCCAAATTGATAGCTCCAAACTGACTTAAGTTGTTAATGAAATGTTTTAAGATTTCTAAAACCCCAGATAGAGGTTTGTTAGTTTATTTGTTTAAGCAGGGTTTCTATCTTCAAGCTGGGAATCCCAGGGCTCTATAGAGTTGAAGTGGCCACAGCTTTCCTCTAGACTCAAGATATGGGCAAGGCTGGGGTGGTTGGGGGAAAATCCATTTCTCTAGGCTTTTTCAGCTTCTAGAAGCTTCTTACTTTCTTTGGCTCAGAGCTCCCCCACCCCATCTTCAACATCAGCACAGGTGGATTTCTCTGACTGTCTGTTACGACATGTGGCTTGTTGAAGACAGACAGAAACAGTTCTAGGTTTTCTTTGTTGGTGGTGCCTTGTTGTTTTCTGTGTGTTTTGAAAAAAGATCTATAAAATGTAGCCAGACTGGCCTTTATCTTCCTAGAGTATTAGTTAGAAGTGTAAACCACCACACTAAGCGGTTTTTGTAAGGTCATATGCAATTAGATTAGGTCCACCCAGCTAATTTAGACAGGTATCTGCAGCCCAAGGCCCTTAAATGTACTCTCAGGGCCTCCGTGGGGCTTAGGAGGCAGACTGACCAACACAGAGTATTCCACAACTGTGGCTCAACAGTATGAGCTGATATCATCAAGAGTCATAGGAGCTGGTGAGCAGAAAGCTGGGGAGGCCATGCCACACTTGAGATCAGTTAGCATTGTCAAACAGAGCTTTCTGAAGGGAGATTGCATATATGGACACATACAAGCAAGGTATAGATGCCAGTTTCCTTATTTGAACCCATGTACAGGACTTCTTCACAGCCTTGGGTGATGTGTGATGTCCTTCTGTATGCCGCAAATATATGTTGTTTTTATTGGTTGATGAATAAAGCTGTTTTGGCCTATGATAGGGCAGAATAGAACCAAGTGGGAAATCCAGAGATAAAGGAAGAAAGAAGGCAGAGTCAGGGAGATACCACTGTAGCCATTGAAGGGGTAAGATGCCAGAGCATCACCAGTAAGCCACAGCCACGTGGCGATACACAGATTATTAAGAATGGATTAATTTATAAGAGAGAGCTAGCCAGTAATAATCCTGAACCATTGGCCTAAGAATTAAATTTAATATTATCCTCTGAGTGATTATTTCATAAGTGACTGCAGGGACCGGCCAGCAGGAGAGAAACCAGTCCAGGGGGACCAGTGGGACAGAGAAAAATGTTCAGCTATGCCTGGGGACTTCTCCCTCCCTTGGGAGCTCTTTAGGAACTGCAGCAGCCTCATCTGGCTTTCTGCCTACATTAGTTACCGTTCTCATCATTGTGACAAAACGCTTGACAGAGGAGAAAGGTTTATTTTGCCTCATGATTTCCAGTGGAGACGATGGGAGCCTGTGGCAGAGCCCAAGACAGGAAGAGTCAGGAACTGTGTGCTCCCAAGGGCCATCCTCAGTCACCTCTTTCCTCCTGCTATATCCTACATCCTGAGGTTCCTACAGCCTCCCAAGTCAGTGGCACCAGCTAAAGGCTGGGTGTTCAGACACGTGGCATTTTAGCCTCAAGCCTGCAAATCTGTGCTGTGATGAGATGCCCCTTACATGTTGGTGAGGGCCTTTGTACTATCATGTGACTTCTCGATGACTGACTGGAGATTCTCATGGGTCATTTCAGGAACTGTTCCTTGATGGCTGGCTCCTCCAGCCCCATCAAGCTGGGGGTCTTCTTTAATTTTCTGCTTTAAACAGTGTCTGTGTATGCATGCATGTGGGTATTGATCAGAATCTGTCTATCTATCTATCTATCTATCTATCTATCTATCTATCTATCTATCATCTATTTATCATCTACCTATCTATCATCTTTCTTTTTATCAATTCATCCACCTACCCATCATCTATTCATATATATATATATATATATTTCTGTCTCTCATCTATAGCTTTATTCAACCCACATGCTTACCTGATCACATGATCTGGGCTTACTTGCTTTTTCCCAAGAATCCTTAAACATGTATTTCTGAAGCTTTCTCTAATTTTTTGTAAGTTTTTTCCTGGCTGAATAGACAAGAATTGTCTCCTTAGACAAATCTGGGAAGACACCATTTCTTTTTACTATCACAGGGAGCTGTATCACATAGCCAGAGTCCCTTCCAGAGTGAGGAGCTGAGTCCCTCTGACTCAAACATGTGTTTTCCCTACACTGCAGTGACCACTATGCTCCCAAGGGAGGACATGCACACACATTCTCTCTCTCTCTCTCTCTCTCTCTCTCTCTCTCTCTCTCTCTCTCACACACACACACACACACACACACACACACGCACACGCACATGCACATGCACAGATGCATACATACTCACATATCCACTTTTAAAAGAGCATAGCAGATAGACACTAAAGTCATGCCTAACGAAATACAAATGGTCCATGCAGACAGAATTTCCAGGAGGATTTCACAGGGAAGAAAAAGGAAGAAATGACAGGTAGGAACAAATGCACACTGTGCCCCTTACCACGAGGCTGCATACATCAAAGCTCTTTAGCACAGGCCAAGAGCTTCCAAGTGTGACTTTCAAGTGGACCCACACCTCTAGAGTTTGAGGATTCCTCCTAGGGACTGTAGTTGCCCACGTGAGGAACTCTTCCTTTCAGCTGACTTTGCGAAGGCACGCTCATTGGGAGTCTTTTGGAAAGCCCCAACTGGTTGCCAGATTATCTGAGAATTCCCACTTCTACTCTTGCGTTGACATGGGTCCATCGCAAACCTTCCTGTTCCTTCATGCTGTTTCTGTTGCCTCCCAGGGTATGAGCTGCACAATGAGCAGGAAGGCCCTGGGGAGGCTGCTTCTGCACTTTAGTTTAAGAACAGAAACAGGTTGCTATTTTTAGCTTTGCATGGGAAAGTCCGAGGGAGCAGGGAGAGCATGGATCTGCCAGAAATCCCTTTCTGGGACAGCTGCCATCTCAGCTGATATGGACAGGAGAGGTAGAGATGTCTCTGACACTCTGATGACACCACAAGACCCCCTAGAGCACCTCAGCCAGTCACCCAGGAGAATCGAATTGCCCCTGGTGGGACAGACATTGCCTGCTTTAGGCAGAGAGGAAAAACAAGAAGGCAGTGTGACAGAGTCATTGTTCTCTGAAAATGGGGAATATGAATATGACCAACAAAGAGTCTTGGGGCAGGGAGGATGAGCACCATGTCTAGAGGGACAGCTGGGTATTGCTGGGGGAGCTGCCTACAGGTGTGTATCAGGACAAGATGGGCCAGCTCGAAGGAGGAGCACCAACCACTGGCAACGGAAGGAAGCCGTGGGCAATGGAGGGCAACGGAAGGAAGCCAGGAGAGATGGAGCAAGAGTCGAGACAGGAGACTGGAACGCGCCAAGCAACCTAGTCCCACTGAAGAGCCGGGCTTTGTTTCAGTGGGACCCCAAAAGATGCCCTTTGTTGGGGGCCAGGCATCAGCACAAGGGGCTGCAGAGGAGTTGTGAGGGTCAGGGAGCCAGGAGACAGGGACTCCTTCAGCTGATGGGCCAGGCTGGGCCCGAGAGAAAAAGCGCCCCTGAGGACCTGTCTCTTGACGAAAGAGGGTGTGTGAGAGGGGCCCTCAGTGACGTTTATCCTGTGTGCTCAGGCCCACTGCCCCACCTCCCTCTCAGCTTGCTGCCACAGGCCACAGGCCAGGGACCCCTGGGTCATGTCTGGAGAGAGCATTGCAGTCTCTGGAAACCGTGTGATGCCCAGTGTCGGGGAGATGCTTCTCTTTCCTTCCCTCCCTCCCTCCATCCCTCCCTCCCTCCCTCCCCAGGTCACTGTAGCCCAGCATGGCACCTAACTCACAACCTTCCTGTCTCGGTCCAGCTTTTGTTATTTATCCCTTCTCTCCTCTTACCCTTCCTTTTGCCCCTCATTCCCCTCCCATCTCCTCTCACCTAGGATTAGAGAAGGAGAAAACGGATTCTACCATGTTGTTCTCTGAACTGTGGGCATGTGCCATGGCAAGTGCCCCTGCCTCAAATCACACAACAACAACAGCAAAAGTTCAAGAAGTAAAGCTTTAGGAAACACAAGAAATTCATAGAAAAGATAAATGTGATAGTTACAACCACAATGCAAATCGGTCCTTCAAGAATAAGAACTCCAGGGAAGATGGAGGTCACTGGGGGCCTCTCCAGGTGAGAAGGGATGTCCAGGGAAAACAGAGATCACTGGGGGCCTCTGTAAGCTAGAAGGGATGTAAATAATCTGCCACAGTTTTCAGACTTGACTGTGTGGAACTGCAGGGGCAATGGCAGGGGGGACTCTGGCCTTTGGTGCTGCCTGAAGCAGCCTGGGAAGTTCTCTTCGGCGACCTTACCTTCCAACTGCACTGTGGAGAAGACTAGTCACTGTGAACGGAACTGGAGTCTGTCAGGAAATGGTTACAGCACGGCTATAGGCACCAACTTAGGTGGAGCCTTAAGAAAAGGAGAAGTTACATACTTTCCAGTGGGCATGAACTTCGCAAGGTTGGTTTCTTTTTAAGAAAGCAGTGGAGTTGTGGGAAGCCCTGACAAGTGTTAGTCTCCAGAACTTGTCAACCATGCCCACATTCCCAGCGTTGCTGGCACAGAAGTCTGTGGTTTCTTCTCTCTACCTGGACGTATGAAATGTTTCCTTTGGTAAACACCCGGCACACAAAATCAGAGCTGCTGACCGGTAACCAGCTCTAGCATTTCTTGAGATTAAATAGACACACCCCAAACACAACTGTCTCTCCCCAAGAGCATTTGAAACTCAGCCACATTCTTGGGGAGGTTGGCATGGTATCACATGTTGAGCTTCCCAGACGTGCTCAGCAGAGAACCTTCATTTGCCCAGGGTGCAGCCTGAATGCTCCAATTGCAAATACTGAAGAGCTCCAGGCTTCCAAATCTTGTTGGCAGTCTCTCTTTCTTGAATGTGAGACATTTAACATCTTTCAGTAACAAACTAACAAACACATACTTCAGGGGGTCTAAGGAGATGACTCAGCAGTTAGCAGCATGTATAGCTTTCACAGAGACCCTAAGGTCAGTTCCTACTGCTCAGGGCTAGCTGCTCCCGTCACCTGTACCTCCAGTTCTACAGGAATCCAATGCTGCAGGCCTCTACGGGCATGTGCTCTCACAAGTACACACCTCCCCATACACATAATTTAAAAATAATAAAAACTGGCCTTTAAAAGCCCCTCAGGGTTAGAAGTGACTCTTAGCATGTGTCCATCACGAATTTCTTGGGGTAGGATGAGACACAGTCTTGCCCAGGCTGGCCTTGAACTAGCCTCATGACCCTCTTGCTTCAGTCTCCCAAGTTCACCCAGCCTCCAATCACAGTTTTAGTGGAAAAAATAGTTACGTGACAGCTGCAGCAAAGCATGACGGGACAATGTCTTTGTCGCAGTGTTGGGCTTCTGCTGCGAGCTTTGGGAACGGTGTCTGCGTTAGCTGGGTTCCTTGAACCTCTCAGAGACGAGGTACTTTCTTCCCTTTTTGTATGAGTGTTCCAAGAAAGCAAGCAGGAGCGTGGAGCACGGGATCAGCATGGAAAAGTGCCAAGGAAAGAGGTGACATGAAGCAGCGACTCTCAGGGGGACAGGAAGGGCACGTATCTAGGTTGTTCTTTTTCTCCTGCACATGAGTCTGCCTCTGGAATGCGACTCTCCCACAGCTCCTGGGCAGGTGCAGACGGCCCTGGCCACTAGGAGCAGCCCCCGCAGATGTGATAGTACCAGCGTGGGAAGGAAAGTGCCAGGCTGTGGTCCATGCAGTAGATGCTCTCTGATCACGGTGATGGGACAGCCTGGGCCTCTTTGTGGCTCTCATGTCTCTTCATGTCCCCAGAAGTGTCTCATTTGCTTCAAGATAGAAACAGATGCCACTTATGGTCATTTGCAGATGAATAAATGGCCGACACAGAGGTGTTGCCAGCTCCGTGTGACGGCTGTCTTTCAGCTATGCCAAGGTGGCTCGGGCTGGACGGAGCTCTTCCTTTCCTCTTTAAAGAGAATTCAGCCTCACTAGGGTGCCCAGCCTTCTCTGATTTCGGGGAAGGCTGAGGGCATCCTGCTGCTTTTCTCAGTGAGTGCTCTCTCCTACGCCATGCCCTGTCTGCTTGTCATCTTCCTTGCTTCTCTGTCCCATTGGTCTTCCAGCCCAGCACCCAACGTGCTTCGTGATCTGATCCCACATGCTCCTTGTCGTAATTAGGGCTCCTATGGCATGACCAAAAGCAACTCAGGGAGGAAAAGGCTTGTTTTAGCTTACAGTTCCAGGTTATACTCCACACTGAGGGAAGTCAGAACAGGAACTTGAGAAGAGCAGGAAGCTGGAGGCAGGAGCTAATGCAGAGGCTATGGAGGGTGCTGCTTACTGGCTTGCTCTCATGTCTCGCTCAGCCTGCTTTCTTATAGCACCCAGGACCACCAGCCCAGGGATGGCATTGCTCACAGTGAACTCCCCCCACCCAATTAATAATCAATCAAGAAACCACCACAGGCTTGCCCACAGGCCAACCTGGTGGGGGCATTTTCTCTCCTGAGCTTCCCACCTCCCAAACGATCCTAGTTGGTGTCAAGTATACATAAAACCATCTAACACACCATTGCTGTCGTTGTTGTTTTGTTTTCTGATACAGATTTACTCTGTGTAACAGTCCTGGCATCTGCTTTGTAGACAGGCTGGCCTTGAACTCACAGAGATACCCCTGCCTCTGCCTCCTGAGTGCTGGGAGTAAAGGGTTACACCACCACTGCCTAGCCTTCAAGCCACCTTTCCCTAAGCATGATGGCTAATCTTGACTGTCAGCCTGAAAGGATTTAGAACTGCTTGGGTGACACCCTAGAGATGTCAGTGAGAGTATTTCCAGAGAGACTTACCTGGGAAAGGAAGACCCACTAAAGCTGGGTGACACCATCTCATGGGTCACCATCCTGGGCAGCAGCAGCAACTAACGGAACATCAGAATTCCTGCTTCCTGGCTGTAGACTCAGGGTGGCCAGCTGCTCACACTCCTGCTGCCATGCTTCCCCTATCATGATGAACTTTGCCTCTCAAATTATGAGGCAAAATAAATCCTCCCTTACTTGCTCTTATCAGATATTTTTTGCTATAGCAACGGGAAAAGTAACTAATTCACTGTTTTCTCCAACTGCTAACCTGCCCATTCACTTGGATAAGTACCTGTTTATGTGCCGACTGTTGTTTCCAGTTCTGAGATATAGAGATAAATAAGAAAGACACCATTCCTGCCTCCATAGAGCTTGTGGTCCCGAGTGGAATGCAAACAGAGTGATAACAATGTCACCTGATGTTGAGTACTCAGTGCAAGGTACAGTGTGATGAGCAAATGGGACTCCACCAAGTTTTAATGGGACAAGCATATGCCCTAGAGGGAGGCATTTAGCTGGAAACCCAGAGGATAGGTCAGCATGAGTTTGGTAAGCGTTGGCAGCAAGAGAAGAGTTCCAGATGGCAGGTGCCAAGGCTGAACCAGGTAAGGAAAACGTGACCTGTGTCTGGAAGATGAACTTGGAAGAAGGTAGAGGTGGGTCTGGGGGTAGTGGCTGAGTCTTGAAGGGGTGAGTCTGGAGGGGTATCTGAGGTTGAACCACACAGGGAATTGTAAGCAGCTAAGCAAGGCTACCATACCACAGCTCCCTTGTAATGACCTAACATTACAAAGGTCTAGCATCTAGAACAAGAAGCCACACAGCTTCCTAGCACATTGAGGTTTGGTGAGTTCCAGGTGGCTGGCAAAATGGGAACCAGGAAAAAGTGGAGAATGGCAGACTACTGAGAGATGACAAGGAGAAAAATATTTAAAAGGGGAAAAAAGTAAAACAGTTCATTCAGCTCGGGAAAAGGGGAATAAAATCAATTTCTGGCTATAGGTGAAAAGAACCCCCAGAAATCACCTCCTGCCCCAAACACAGAATCCAGAGACAACCAGAAGGCATGAGATCAACCAGGCTGAATGAAGGTAAGAGGCCCTTTGGTGCAGGCTGGGGGTGTGGCAACTTGGGTCCCTGCCCATCTGTTAAGAGAGTGGCCATCTCCTCCAAGCAGTCAGAATGGTCAGTAGCCACCACAGGACTGCGGTTTGTGTTTATGGCTTTAATTAAATTGAATTAACTGTAATAATCAGGGCTTCTGTTTGCCTTACTCTCCAATCCAGAATGGCCCCTTTGGGCTGCGGGGTACGGCATGTCTGATTGCAGATGGAGGCTGTGTGCATTGGGCTTGGGTTTTCTGTCCCGAGCAGGGCAGCATGATCTTCTGAGGCTGAATTGAAATGAGTTACTCACAGCAGCCCCAAAGACCCTGCCTTTGCCTCTGTTGTATACCTCAGAGTCTTGTCCACACTCTGGGGCGAGTCCAGAATGCTTAGGGGCTCCAGATAAGAGAGTCAAGAAACACAAGTATGGAACTCAGTCTCTCCCTTCCCAGCTTCGAGATCTTGGGCCCAAATTCTCAAAAAACTGTCCTTAATCCATACCATGGGATGGTAGTGGTAACTTAAAGGTCTCAGGCAGAAGTGTTAAAGTGACACTGACATAGATTGTTGGGAAAGAGTTATTACTAACAGGCAGATAGGCAGCAGTACAGTAGGGGCTTTAACAGAGTTCAGTCCCCAACACTAGGGGAAGACAGGAAGGGAGATACTCTACAGAGAGGAAATCGGGGCCATTGTGACAGAAGGAAGGGTCTTAGCACAGGAGTGGCTTCATAGCACAGACTTGTAGCCAGCCAAGCTCTCCATGCAGCAGGCAGGGAAGGGGTGGGGAGCAGGATGTGTCCACCAACACCCACTTCAATGTAAATCATTTCACCGGGTAACAGCTCCTAGAATCTGGAAGGCTCCCCGTGACATCACAAGCAGATTTGTCTGGCTGTGAGTCTGGTATTCCCTGACGGTTGACTGTGGACAGCAGCTGAGAAGGTGCTGGGCTCCAAACTCTACCAGGGACTCAGCATCTCGGGAGAGTGTGTGTCTGGATAACTATATGCCATGGGTGGGGCTGCCCTGGGGAGGCTGAAGCAGGAGGACCAGTTTACATAATAAGACCATTTTAAATAAATAAATACATGAATGAATAAACAAACAAATGAGAAGCTAAGTCAAGGCTGCTTGTTGAACAAATGTATAGCAGTCAAGGCTGGACTAGGCGGCCTGGGCCTTTTCTCTTAACACGTCTCTGATACATTTCAGTTCTACAGAGACATGACTTTCCTGCTGAAACTGAGAATTGTGGGGTTTTGTAGTCCTTAGAAACATAGACTCTAGTCATGGAACGCCCTAGTTCAAATCCCAGCTCTAATCCTTAGTTACTGTGTGACTAAAGATTCGTGAGTTAGTTAATGTCTCTGTGCTTTGGTCTCATCTGTAGGATGGGATAGCAACAGTGACTGCTGAGAATTGTGACAAGGATGAGTCACTGCCTGTAAAGACCTTAGTCAGGCACATGGAAACGACAGCTGAGATCGTCATTTTTATTTCACTAAAGTGCAGTGAACCTAAAAAACTATATCAAGTTCTAGGGCCAGATCAGGGGCCACATTACTGGGGGAGGGTGGCATCTGACCAGGGGACTCTCGCACTTACGAAACAGTTGTTGCACGCACAGGGAAGTGGTTTGTGTTGATTGGTATTATGTGACCTTGACACAAGCTAGAGTTATCCGAAAGGAGGGAACCTCAATTGAGAAAATGCTTCCATAACATTCTGCTGTAAGGAATTTTCTTAATTAGTGATTGATGGGAGAGGGAGGGCCTAGGCCATTATAGGTGGGGCCATCCCTG